TGGCCAGAGTCTCATCATCGCAGTGAGGTGGGAGGAGAGAGGGGCGAAGAGGGATGGCAGGGGGGTGGGAGAGGGGGTGGGAGAGTGGTTGGCGAGGGGCGACGGGGGCCGCGCCGCGCCTTGTCGCGCTTTGGTGCGAGCGCGTCCAGCTCGTCGATGAAGATGATGGCGGGCGCGTTGGCCTCGGCCTGCTCAAACACCTCGCGCAGCGCCGACTCGGCCTCGCCGGGTCGCTTGGCCATGATCTCGGGGCCGTTGACGGTGCGGAACCTGCGAGGTGAATACGCCCAAGGTCGGGGCGGGAAGACGGCATTGCGCGGAAGATTCAGAGCACCGCGTGAATACGAGGGGTACGAGTACAGCGAATACGACTGGATGCGGCCGAATACAGCTGATTACATGTCCTCTCGCTAGTTGGAGCACAAGACTCTTCCCCTTCTAGGCTCTCGGCACCACACGCCAGCCTCCTGCCGGACTGCCTGCGCGATCATCGTCTAGACTCTTCCCCTTCTAGGCTCTCGGCACCACACGCCAGCCTCCTGCCGGACTGCCTGCGCGATCATCGTCTAGACTCTTCCCCTTCTAGGCTCTCGGCACCACACGCCAGCCTCCTGCCGGACTGCCTGCGCGATCATCGTTTTGCCGGAGCCGGCGGGACCGTGGATAATGACGCCGCGCGCCGGCCGCACGCCCAAATGGTCAAACACCTCTGGCTGCTTGAGCGGCAAGTCGATCAGCTCGCGGAGCTGCGCGAGCTCCTTGTCGAGCCCGCCTAGCGGAAGGTTCCGAGAAGGTTCGGGCGGGAGGCAACGCCGCCTCGCCGCCCGCGGGTCCCTCCTCAGGAGCAGGCCCTCCACCTCCGCGTGAGACGCAGCGACGAGGCCGAGGCGTGGCAGCGCCATCTCTCCCCATCTCTCCCCATCTCTCCCCATCTCTCCCCATCTCTCGGCTAGATCTCGCGCCGATGTCGGCGTATCCGATCGCAGAGTCCTCGCCCGCCTCCTCTTCGCTGATCTCGTTCTCGGCAAAGATCTCCGTCTCCGCGCCGACGATGCCTGCGGACGCAGTGGGCGGTGGGTTGGGCGGCGGCGGCGGCGGCGGCGGCGGCGGCGGCGACGGCGGCGGCGGCGGCGACGACGGCGGCGGCGACGGCGGCGGCGGCGGCGACGGCGGCTATGGGGTGAAGGTGAAGTGTCTCGGAAGTGTCTCGGAGTGCCCGCACCGGATGCGGAGAGCGCCGCGTCACCCTCGGGCACCTCCACCCCCATCACCTGCGGCGGCGAACGCGGGGCGAGGGTCGGGCGGAGCGGGCGCGGGCAGGGGCGGCGCGTCGAGGGGAGGAGGCGGAGGGCTCCGCCAGCCACACACTTTCCAGCGCAGCGTATGGCCGTCGACCTCCGTCTCGATGACGTCTCCCTCGGTGACGGGCCTGCCCATGTCCTTGAAGTAGGACGTGAGGCCGCCGAACCGCTCCTCGAACCCGCCCTCGAACCCCGCCGCCGACTCGCTGATCAGGCACAGCTCCACTCGCTCCGCCTCGGGCAGGTCCCGCATCGGCGTCGCGACGACCGCGTCGCCGGCGGAGAGGCGCAGGTTGGCGCGAGCGGCGGCGGAGAGCTTGACGTCGTCCTCCGACAGCCCCTTCTCCGAGCCCACCGCCACGCAAACCGTCTTGCGCTGCTTGCCGCCGCGCAGCAGCACCGGCTCGCCACCCGCGAGGCCGAGCGACTCGAGCGCGTCGGCGCTGAGCATCAGCGACGACGGGTCGGCCGCCTCGGTCTCGGCCACGGTCAGCCGCTTTCTGCTCTGCACCTCGTGCGCCGGCTTGGCCTCCTCGGCCTCCTCGCCGCCGCCGCGAAGCCGCTCCGGCACTCTGAGCAGCTCCGTCAGCCGCTCTGGCCGCGGGATCAGCCGCAGCTGCTCCGACCGCGGCGCTGACGCGACAGCCAGCCGCGGGTGGGCCCCGTGCGCGTCGCGAAGAAGCAGCAGCAGCGGCGGCAGGGCCAAGGACAATTTCATAATGGGCGCCACCGTCGTCGACGGAGCGAGGTTGAGGAGGTGCACGAAGAAAAATAACCCGATTTCTGGTTGCCGACTGCACTCCAAGTGCTCCAAGTTCTGTAGGTAAGACCCAAAGAAGAGGAGCGAGGAACGGCATTCAAGCGAGACGACGCTAGTCGGCTCCGCGACGCGGAGCGCTGCATGAAGGCCGGCAAGCCGCTCACGGTGCGCGAGGCGTCCTTCATCAGCTTTGATGGGACACACCGAGCGCACCGGCGCGGCCCACCGTGCGCTTCACCATGCACGCGTCGACGGCAGTCTCGACGGGCAGATCAACATCAAGTCGGAGTACGGCAGCTGGAGCGTGCAGAGCGCGAGTGCGCGGCCGCGGGCACGTGCGCCACCGCCGCGCCAGCCGCCGCGCCCGCCGCCGCCGCGCGCCCGCCGCCGCGCCCGCCGCCGCGCCCGCCGCCACGAAAGCGGCGTGTACGGGGCTAGTCACGACGGGGCCGTAGCCTTCGGTCACGAGCATGGCATTCTCGTCGCTTATGCCGTCCCCGCCCTGTCCCCACTCTCCCTTCATGCGGCGGCGGCGACCGCCGGCGCGACGGTCGCCGGCCTGCCGACCTTGACGTTCGCCGCCGACGCCGCCGCGTCAACCCGCCGCCTGCCCCTCCTCCGCCGTTGCCGCCGCCGCCATCGCAGCCGCCGCCTGCCCCTCCTCCGCCGTTGCCGCCGCCGCCATCGCAGCCGCCGCCTGCCCCTCCGCCGCCCTCCACCCAACTTATTCGGCGAGAACTTTCCGTGCACGCTGAGAAACGCGTCGCGGAATCACTGCCAACTGCGCGTCGGCCGGGCAGACGCGCTGGTACACGAGTGCAGCCGAGTCGTGCTCAACTTTGAACGCACCTGGGCTACGCTGAAGCGGCCGCACACATGGAGCGGCACGGTGCACGCAAACAACACGCTCGCCGCCTGCTAGCAGTTTGCCGCGCGCGACAGAGCGGCGCGCTCGTGCGACGTGACGCTGGCGCGGCAGTGGGACAGCGCAGGGTGCAACGGACGCGGAGCGCCTGCGTAAGGGCACTCTCTTCCGCTTCCTCAACGGCGGCTGCATGGCTGCGCGCGCGGCGCCGCTCGTGCCAGATGCTGCAGGCGTACCTCGACGAGATGGGGCGCGACGACAAGCTACGTGGCACGCCCGAAGCGGACGCGGCCCGCGCGCATGCGCTGTGCTCCGCCTACGCCGACGGCATGCCACGCGTGTAGCTTCCCAACGATCGCGCTCGACCACAACGCGACGCTGTGCCTCAACCTCTTCTCATCCACGCCGCGCAAGCACATGGAGTGGAGACGGCCAGGCCGCTGGCACCGCGAGGCGCTCATCGTTCAATACCCTGCACAAAGACCCCACAGGCGGGGACCTTTTCCCTTTTACCCATCTCACAGTAGAGGTGTGCGTTTTTTTTATTTATTTATTTCAATTTTCAGCTCGTGCCCTCAGTGGAAAGGAAATCGCACTGGCGCAAAATCCGGTTTGCTGTGGGGGGCGTGAGGCCGCCGCTGGAGAGGGTACCTCGTGCAGCCACTCGGTCCGAGCTGCGGCAGTGCGGTCGGGTCCGAGGTGACGGGGCAGCACTCTGGCGAGACGCCGTGCCGCCGCACGTCGCGCCGGAAGCGGCGCTGGACGTAGTTCCACAGTTCGCCGTCGATCGGGTCGCGGGTGGCGATGGCGGAGCCAGCTGGGTTCGCCGGGTCCAGTAGCTTGGTCGAGGTGGGCCGCGAGTTGGCGAGCTGGCGCGGCAGGACGAAGCGCCGCCCGGTCATGATCGCGTTGAAGAGGCAGAGCGACATGTTCCACTGGCCCTGGTCGCCGACGAAGAGGAAGTGGCGCAGCCGCTGCTCGACAGCGCGCCTCGCGTCGGCGGGCGAGGTTGCGTGCTGCGACATGCAGCCGTACCCAAGCACCATGTTGGTCATGCAGCCTGTAAAGCGGGCGAGCGCCCTCTCCGGAGGGACCGCCGCCGCGACGTCCTTGTGCACACGCACAAAGACGGAGGGCTCCCAGCCCCAGTCCTTCCAGCAGCAGCCGACGGGTGACTGGGGCCACTCGAGCCGTGGCAGGCCGCGCACGCCCTTGGGCCGCGGCTTGCGCAGCAGGTCGCGCATGTGGAAGTAGGCCGACACCAGCCGGTCCTCGGGCTGGCGGAACATGGCGACCACCTGTGCGCCCGGCCTCTGGATCCGATCCGTCATGTCGAGGCCGAGCACCTGGTGGCAACCTTGCGGCCAAGTGGTGTCGCGATAGGCAGACCACGGGTAGTCGAGCACCGAGTCGCGGAACGACGTGCCCGTCTTTGGGGGGTGGAGCCACCACAGCGCCCACGCCGCGTTGAGCATCGGCAGCCGCGGAGGCGGAGGCGGAGGCGGAGGCGGCGGAAGCAGCGCCGGAAGCGCGATGCGGCGGCGGAGGCGGAGGCGCTGGCGTCGACTGCCCGGAGAACGCTGGAGAGCATCCGACATCGTCGGGCGCAGCGGCGGTGGCCGAGTGGCCCGCGTTTTGTGTTCGCTGCGCCGGGGCGCGTGGAGTTCACAGCCTTGTTATAAGCTGTGTCCTTCTCCCAGTCTGGACGTTCTACCTACCTACCCTGGAGGCTGCCTCCGGCCACCGCTCGACTACCCACGCACATGGCCGGTCCTGTGGCTTGCCTGGGCTTGCTCAGAAGCCTCAATTCGCGCACACCTTTGCTCTCTGGCTCCCGCGAGTGCGTTTAGGCCACTCAAGCAGGCGACGCCGAGCACCCGCAACGCATCTCGCTGGGGATCGACCCGACTGATTGGCAGCATCAAAGCCGACCCCATGACGGTCCTTCAGCCCCATGAGACAGGCAGTTGCGCCCTGATCTCGGTCCAAGACGGCCAACGCCGTGTCCGGCACCTGCTGGCTGCTTCACGGGGATGCCCCACCCCGGACACATGCTGCAGCCCCGAGTGGATGTATTGGTCGTTTGTGGGTCCCACAAGACTACTCTAGTAGGGGCCAGGCGCTTGAGCGTCGGCGGTACACCTGTGCAGATGTTGCACGGGTGAAATGGCTCCTCGTACAGGGTAGGAGGCAGGTGGTGGGTTTGAGTGTCGTGAGTGCTTGCAGCCGCGAGTGTAGCACCGTTTGTGACTCCCATGGATGCAGTTGGGTGGGGCACGGTGCTGGGGGGCGGTCCGGTGCGCCACAACAGCCTCCCTGGCTGACCCCCATCCAGTTCAGCACCTTCCACGTCCTGACCGTGGAACCCCAACTTCAACCGGTCATATCTCGGGCGGACTGGCACCTCAGGAGCTCATCCTGGGCGGTTTTGGGGAGTCTTGGGGGTGTACTTGAAGGTGGTAAAAAGAGTTTTGCACCGCAGCTTAACCGGCGGGCGTGCTGAGCAGCGTGAAAACAGAAGGACACAGCTTATTGAGAAGAAAATACCTCTTATTCACAGCCATGTTAATTTTACACAAATGTCAGAGTGAATTGGAACAAGCCTATATGACGAAATGGCGCGAGTGCGACTGCGAGCAACACAGCCACCTGGCCTTCGCGGCTCAACCTCTCATCGCGCAAGACCCAAAGTCTCCCCCCGCAAGCGTGTGTCTTCAGTCTTCCAAGAGCGCGCAATGGCACGTCACGCCCCGCGCCTCACACGCCGCCTTGAGTGCCAGCCGGCCGGCCGCCTCTGCCGACCCCTCTTCGCCGGCCGGGATGTGCCACGCGGTGAAGTACAGCGAACGGAGCGCGGGAAACGCACCCGCCTCGAGGGTCCGGCCGAGGCTGTCGAAGTCGAGCGGGTTGCGAGCCGCGGACAGGTGGCGCAACCGACAGCCTATCTCGGGCCATCTCGGGTCATCTCGCGGGTCATCTCGCCGCGCCCCGGCGGCGCAGCTGGCAGTAGCCGGAGAGCGGCGAGAGCTCGTGGATCTCATTGTCGTCGAGTTGGAGCACGCGCAAGGTGCGCTCGAGGCCGCCGACGCTCAGCCCTCGCGCGAGCTGCTCCACCGCACCGTCGTGCAGCGCCGCCTGGTGCACGACGGCCGCCGTCCGTCAGAGAGAAGGGTAGTCTTGGCTCATCGCGGCTCGTCTCGCCTCATCTCGGCGCTCTCGCGCAGAGTGGTGCGCCTGGCACAAGCGCAACGTCGCGAGTTGCGGCATCGCGCCCCTCGCCAGCGCGGAGGAGAGCGCGCGGATCCCGGTCGGGCGGCCGCGGCTCGAAGCGGTCAGCAGGGTGCCGTCGAGGTTGAGCTTCGCGAGGCGTGGCAGAGAGCCGGCCGGCAGGTGGCCGAGCACGCGGGAGACCTGTCATCAACAATCACTGCTCCACTCAAAGAGATATATGTAGCCGGCGGGTGGCCGAGCGCGAGAGAGCCTCGAAGCAGCAGCCGTGCCTGCGTTGTGGATACCAACGGCGTCAGTGCTGCAGCATCGCATTGGGGAGCGCGAAGGTACAATAGCGCTCGTCGGAACAGAGGGGCGTGTGTTTAGCATCTAGGCTGCCGTACTGCTGCTCGATCCGTCGCTCTACCATCTCCTGCATGGCTCGACCTTGCGTCGCCAGGCCGAGCGCCACAAGTTGATGGGCAAAGCTGCCATTGGTGAGCCAAGTGTCGTGAACGATTGCTACGCCGAGCACGAGCGCGCGCAAGTGAGAGAGGGCCGGCAGCGGCAGCAGCGCCGCGAGCATCCGTTCGGCCTTGTCCCGCGGGCATGACACAATCGGCTCGCCAGAGTCTTGTGCGAACACCGAGCCGCACGGCGGTGTGATGGCGCAATTCTCGCCGCGATAGCCGTGGAAGCGGAGGCACGGCTTCCGGAGCACGTGAATTAAAAGGTCATGCTCGACGAAGCCATCGAGGCTGTGCAGCGCACGCATGGTCTGGCGGAGCGAGTGGAGGAGCGGAGAGATTAGCGTATGGAAGCCATGGCAGGTAGCACTCATCGCGGGGATGGACTTGTACGACTTGCGCGGACAGAGAGGATCGGTGAGCAGCGCGCAGATGTGAAGGACTGA